CTCCCTGCCATCACCACCCCCAGCTCCTTCAAGGTCAGTCCAGTCACTTCAAGGATGCCATCCATCCATCTTGCCCTTGGTTGGCCCCTCTTCCTTTTCCCTTCCACTTTCCCCAGCATCATTCCCTTCTCTAGGCTTGGCTGTCTCCTCTTGATGTGGCCAAAGGACTTCCACTTTGTCTCTCGTCTCCTTCCCTCCAATGAGCAGTCGGGCTTTCTTTCCTGGAGGATGGACTGGTTGGATCTTCTCGCAGTCCAAGGCACTCTCAGGACTTTCCTCCAACACCACAGCTCAAAAGCATCGATCTTCCTTCGCTCAGCCTTCCCTAAGGTCCAGCTCTCACATCCGTAGGTGACTACAGGGAAGACCATGGCTTTGACTAGGCAATGGATCTTTGTTGCCAGTCTGATGTCTCTACTCTTTACTATTTTATCGAGACTGGACATTGCTCTCCTCCCAAGAAGGAAGCGTCTTCTGATTTCCTGGCCACAGTCTGCATCTGCAGTCATCTTTGCACCCAGAAATACAAAGTCTGTCACGGCCTCCAGGTTTTCTCCCTCTATTTCCCAGTTGTCAATCATTCTTGTTGCCATAATCTTGGTTTTTTTTTTAATGTTTAGTTGCAACCCGGCTTTTGCGCTTTCTTCTTTCACCTTGATTAGAAGGCTCCTCAGCTCCTCCTCGCTTTCGGCCATCAGACTGGTGTCATCTGCATATCTGAGGTTGTTGGGAATTGTAGTTGCTGGGATTTATAGTTCACCTACATTCAAAAAGCATTCCGAACTCTACCAACGATGGAATTGGACCAAACTTGGCACACAGAACTATTACAGTATATTGTTGTAAGTCCAGTGTGTGTGTGTGTGTGTTAAAGGAAACCTTGCAGAAAAGCCTTGCAAAATGTTAATGATTAACTGCAGCTGCAAAAGCTAGCTCAGCTCAGCAAGGCTGGGCCATGCCTCTTGAATGTAACAGTTTTCTGAGGCTTTTGCAAACTGTTAGCAGTTGGCTGTTTGGTTTGCTGGAGAGCAAATGCAAGAAGCTCATGTTATGGTGAAGTAACCATGTACTTTTGTTATGCTCTATGATTTATAACACAGAAGATTTATTCTGTATTACTTACAGAGACTATGTAAGTGTGCCAAGCTGTTTTATTTTCAAACTCTACAACCAAGAGTAAAGTTCTACTGTTTTATTTCTTCTGATTGGTCTGTGTCTTTGGCATTGGGTTTTTGGACATGTTAGACATTGCTACTGCGCAACAAATTGATTCTGCGTAACAAGAACTCCCATGACCAGCGGAAAATACTGGAAGGGTTTGGTGGGCATTGACCTTGAGTTTTGGAGTTATAGTTCACCTACATCTAGAGAGCACTGTGGACTTCAACAAAGATAGCTCTGGACCGAACTTGGCACAAATACTCAATATGCTGTAGCTGTAGTTGCTGGGATTTATAGTTCACCTACAATCAAAGAGCATTCTGAAGCTCACCAATGATAGAATTAGGCCAAACCTCCCACACAGAACCCCCATGACCAGCAGAAAATACTGTTTTCTCTAATGGTCTTTGGTGACCCCTCTGGCAACCCCTCGCGACCCCCCCCCTCAGGGGTCCCGACCTCTGGGTTGAGAAACACTGATCTATTTGAATTAGACCCAATATTACTCAATCATATCTCAATTGCTATTCTATCTATCTATCTATCTATCTATCTATCTCAATTAGCTTCTTTATCTATATAACTCAATCGTACTTACAATGATTTTTTCCAGAGCTACCTGCCTGACCAACAGCACATCTGAAGCTTTCTTTCTCTAAACAAGGAAGAAGGGGAAATTCTAAAATGGAGATCTCATCCCCTGGAAAAAGGGCGGTCCCTAGACCCAAAGAGATACTTTTCTAAACCAATAACTGCCATCAGAGTGGTGTCATCTGCATATCTGAGGTTGTTAATGTTTTTTCCCAGCACTTTTAACCCCAGCTTTGCATTCCTCAAGCCCCGCACATCCTCGCATGATGTGTTCTGCATACAAGTTAAAAA